TTTTTATGTTATTAAAAAAATAAAAATAAATCTCCGAGAGAACACGGGAATATATATCGCAGTGTGCTTTTTTAAATTGGGTCAGAATTGTGTTTATACAAAAGTTTGTGTAATCCGAGCGCGGTTATATTATACACACATACTGCGGCTAAACTGTCATAACCTTATTTTCCGGGATCCGGTCGAGGTTTAACTGCATTATAAGTAGCTCGAAATAAAAATAATAAGCTCCCGGGCGCGTACCATAAACAACACCGCAAATAAGTATTAAACATTAATACCCCGCGTCTCGAATACGTCGATGTTGTGTGTACAAGTATGACGATAAATTTCGAACCGTACGTAATTATTATTTATGACCCGTACCGCGTTCGAAACACGGCGTATTTACGTACATTACGTACGCTTTCGGGTGTCGCTAGCTTTTGCTATACTACCGGCACGGCGAATTCCCGTCGAAACGTTTATTTCGCCGCGTAAAATAATACGGATTTTTCCCGCCCCATTTTTTAACCGCACTGTACACCCGCGTTCGGAAAAGTGATATTCGCGCACCAAGTACACCCGCCTGTGTACGGCGTACGTCGTGTCCGACGCATGGCGCGTCGAGGAATCTCGTTTTACGCGTTTTTCGCCTATTCGCTATTTATTTTTTTTTTTTTGTAAATTTCCGCCAGACGGGCCGTGCGAAAACTTTTTTTCTATCCGTCACCTTTTCGCGACAGTGCGACGCACAAAGAGCGCGTACCGCGCGCGCTCGGTTCCGGTCGAACGGGTCGTGTGCGACAATACCGTTAAGTTATACGCAATAGGCGTATAAACCCATTGCGTCGGACAGGGAATACGCCGACGGCGCGACGGGTCGAGTCCGGACGGAAAAATATTAGAAAACAATCGCCCCGTCCGACAAAAGCGCTCGTTCGCGCGCGTATCCCGCAATCTCGCCGGCGCACGTGTCGTTCCCGTCTCTCGCGGTGTCGCCCGAAAACCGGCCGCGTCGATCCGTTTTGACACTCTGCACGCCCGCCGCCGTCCGGCGTTAACCGAGCGCGCGTGCGTCGCGGACGAAACGTTTCGCCGGCGGCTGCCGCCTCGGTCCGTACGATAACCGCGGCATCCGTCGCAGCCGCCCGGCCGTCCGATTTCCGTCCGACCTTCCGATCCGAACCGCACCGCGCATCGTCGTCGCGCGCTGCTGCGCGTACCGATCCCGGGATAATAGACGCGGCACGGAAACGGGACACCCGGACCTCGCCGCCCCTAACCCCGGCGGTCACGGCGAACAGCGCGGATCCCGCGGAACGACTCGGCGTCGTTTCCCCGGGCCGCGGCCTGCCCCGCGCCGTTTCGCGCGACGGCCGGATCCAATCAGGTTTCGACGTGACGGGTCCGCGCGAAGCCGGCGCGGTATTCGGGACGCCGTCGCGGGTCACGGTCAACGGTATTTTCCCCCTTATCTGCGGGCGACGGATCCGGCCGAACGGGTAGGTGGGTTCCGCAACGCGCCCGCCCCCGGCCGCGGACGAACAGTCGCGGAAATCGTGCACTCTGATAATTGTAATCAACAATGGCCGTAGACAATACTGTGCCAACCGGATTTGTGATAGCGATTGCGTATACGGGTCGTATGGCGAGTGTTGCGCTGTAGGAGAAAAGACGTACAGTGCTTGTTATTAGAACGCGTTGAAGTAGCCGACCGAAGCGCGTTCATAAACTGGTCTCGACAAATAACACGTTTTCGGGTCCGCGTACGTCTGCTGTACCGCGGCGTATCGTCGTAACCGGGGCTGGGTTTTCGACATTTGATTTTACATTGTTTTCCAGATTTTGGAACTTATTATCTATACATATAAAATCCAAATACCACTGACTGACCGATCGCTGTATCTCAAAAACTACGTGACGTACGGACTTGGAATTCGGAATATAGGTTCTTCTCATGTTTTCGCCGTGCAATAAGGAGGGATTTTCAAAAATGTCGCGTTTTAGTGGAGTAATTAACAATTATAATTATTCACCGCCAATACGTATTGTGCGGCCCGCGGGTCTCCGGCTACCTGCAACCTCCTATCCTTTTTGTTCGTCGTCGTCGTCTAGATAAGAATAACGATACCGAGAATAAAATTGTTCCGAGAAGTTTATCGATAAAAATCAATATATAGATATTAGGTTATTATTTATATTATCGATAGTTATGAATTTAAGACGGTAAATGGTAATACATGGCGTTATCTAATTTGTCACGAATTTGTTTCCGGGCAACGCCGGGTAATTCAAGCTAGTTCATGTATATAATAATATTTAAACGGTTTGTTCATTATTACTAGGGTTAGGATATTTATGCTCTTGAAGTCCGCAAAAAAGCACTTAAAAATACTTAAAAAAGCAAAAGTGTGTATGAGGGGTTTTTAAGTCTCTTCTCTAACAATCCGAACCTTATTAAATACGGTTTTCTAAAACTGACAAATGATTAACAGATCATTTGTACAAGTTAGAATCATTAGCGAGGGTGTGGCTTTAAAATCCCGCTACAGTTATTGCTCTTTTAAATATTTTTTCCGAGTTTTCTTTTAGGGATTTTTTCGACGTTTCTAAGCTCTTTTGGTGGATTTTAAGTGCACCCTAACCCCGATTATAGAAAATTTGTAGGAACAACGAGCGATAAAGATGACTAAAACGATTAAGGACGGGATTATCGGAATCGGGATGCACTCGGTAGTGCCCGCCCGACGACAAATTATTTCAGCGTTATAATACTCGAGCGGATAAATATTATTTATTTTTCGAAAAATTCCGTTAAAATTGCCTATACGCGACCCCTCGGATGCCACAGTGCGCGCTATAAGTCCCACTGCGCAGGACGTCCTCTTAACACTACTGCTGTATAATAGTATAACAGTGTTTTTCTTTTTGTCTCCCCCTCCCCCCCATATAAACGACACGCGTCTAGGATAGATGCCGCGGGCGACAGATGCGTCATCGACGGGACCTATGAGTCACTCGCCGTCGGGCGGAGGGACGGGGCGAATATACCGACGAGGACCTACAACAATAGTCGTGGGGTTGCGCGGATCCCGGTCCCCTCGCCGCCGCCGCCGACGCCGAAGGCCCGGTCGGGTCGGGTCGGGTGACTAATCGCTCGCGCGCCGCTCGCCGCCCGCCGTCCGCGTCTCGCGCGCGCGAAAACGAATTTTCGGCTATTGTGCCCACGGTCCCCCGAAACCGGGCGTGGGATCCGGGGAAATTTCCGAAATTAATCCGGGAACCGGCCGCCGCCGGGTTTTTCGACGTGTTATTGTACGGTACATGCACACACACACACACATATGACGTGTACGATTTACGCAATTTGTAATCGCGTTCGGCCGGAATCGCAGGGGGTTTCCCTCCCCACCGCCGCCGCCGCCCCCGTGATTATCGCGCGTCGTCGACGGCGCGGCTAGCGGGCCGTACGCGTTTCGTTTCGCCTTTGTTCGCGTTACGCGTAACAGTTCTACGGCGAGGGAAACGGCGGTCCGCGATACGCGCGTACGTGCGGTAGCGACGTAACGGCCGGCACGCCGGGCCCCGGGAAAAGTGGTCGGCGCTCGCGTCACGGCGCCCGGCGCTCTTCGTAGTGTCGCCGTCGTTATTATTACGATCGCGCCGCCGGTCCGAGTGGATACTCGTGTAACACGTCAAACGGACGGCGACGGCGATAACGACAATCGTACGGCGATAATTTATCGGCGGCCGGGCGCGGAGTCGTAAAAACGATATCGCGTTGTTATTATTGCGCCACTGCGGGCCACGTATTTTACGGTACGCCGGCCGCGAACGGAAATTCCGGAGAGCGAATCGCGCGCGACGCCGCCTACGGACGCGGCGCGAGCGTACCGGAGCGGTAGTATAGTACGAACACATTTTCCTTTCCTCTTTTTTCCTTACCACCCCCCCCTTTTTTTTCTCCTCGTTTCTAATACGGTGTTATTAGCGCCGGGGTAATAAAGGTGTGTGTGTGTGTGTGTGCAGAGTTTACGAGTGATCGATCGACGGCGCGGGCACTATTCCGTCCCGTTTATATTTATTACGCGGGTACCTACGTGTTTACAACTACCGACGACCATGCGTGTCGGAAAAGTCCGTTTTAAAAACGGAATTCGTTCCCGTTCCTCGCGCCTACTGCGAAAACGGAACTAGTCCCCGTCGCCCGTTCCCTATTCGCCGAAGGCGCTCTTAAAAAAAAAAAAAAAAAAACGTCGACGACGGTAAGGCGTTTCCGATCGACATACGTAATACCATGTTTTGTTCCGCTGGGTTCGCGGATTGACTAGACGCTGCGTGTTCGACTGTATATTATCGCGATAATAATTTATTATAACTGGACCGGGAATGACGGACGTTTTGCACGATCTTTTAACCGGGTATCGAAGTACTAAAAAAAAAAAAAAAAAAAAATGATAGAAAGACGGACGTATTTCGCACGTGAGTGAACTCCACTGCTGTAGCACCCTGTAGGTGAAAAGTTGTGAAAGTAGAGAGGAAATAAATCTGTACGCAACGATTAATCATCGATTCTGTGAGGCGTTCGGTTAATAGTGTTGCTTTGTCAACAATATTGTGCATGCCATAAATATGGAAAATAATTTCATGTCATGCGTTATATATTTTCTTTAATATTATTTGTTTAATATTGTACTTAGTTTTTCGTTTTACCGAAGTTTTTTTCCGGTTTTTCCCGTTTAACGGGAAAACTCCCGAGAGAATTAAAAAATAACCTCTCTAAAGTACCGCCTCATTCCGATTTCCTTTCGGAAAAAGTGCTGTCATTGTAAACCGGAACAAAAATCCTAGTAGAAAAGTTTTCCACAGGAAAGAAAAAATAAACATCACTGTAAAAACCAGTTCCTCGTTCCGCTTAGAATCTAAAATCGGCTTTAAAAATTGTACATTTAAACTCGTCGTAACGTCTTGGCGTGAATTCCCGTATAACCGTTAGATTCGTGCGAAAAAATAAGCGAATGCTACAAGTGCCGATCTCTGGGTATAAACAACGCACTTACAAGCGCATTACGCAAGTCGACGAGCAAACGGTTCGAATCGGTGATTTATTTAGATGTATTTTACGACTCACTGTGATATGTGATGGCGAGATCAGCGCGAGTGCGTTAAAGTTGTTGGATGGATTTCGGGATTTCAATCTTGCAGAACTTTCCGCACGTATTGAGCCATTTAAATTATTCCCGTTTACTTCTGAACTTAATTCCCGTAACAGCGTTTTTGGTACGAATAAATTACTAATAATTGAATTAAAACATCAATTTTTAATTACTGTTTTCCTTGACTTGTTAACGGCATTGTTCCGTACATTACCGGTCACTAATAGAAACACCGTGTCCCAAACACGGTTTAGTGCTATTGCGATGATTTCGATAGAAAATGAGCGTGTTAAAAATTGTAATTTATCGTCGTAGGTGAAAACGTTTGGTCAAGATAGGAGTAGAAAAAAATAATTTTCATTGGAAATACAATATTATTAACAATAATTTAATAAATTATATTCATTTACTGTGGGCATTTACTCCTTTTTTTCTTTTTTTTTTTATATAGTACCCATAAAAATAAACAGCCCAATGTTTAGAAAGTTGGATTACGGATATAATAGGACCTCCGAAAAAATTGTATCCGCGGGCCTCAATGGCCGTAGTTCCGCCGCTGTCAGCACATAGTCTTATTGAGAAGTGTGTTGTTTTTTTATTCTACTCGTAAACCGTTTTCGCGATTAAATGATCACATTTTTCCACGGAACACCTTAAATGATGCGAAATTTCGCCAGATAGCGTTGAAAAATGTTTCGAAATTCCCGACAGTTTGTCTTCTTTTACTACAATACAAAACACCGATTTGATCAAACGTACCCATGCGATTTCTAAACTTACGGGCGAGCTGCACTCAGAATCGTTTCTTGTTTACAATTATTCATCGTCGCCGGCAGTAGGGTACACTACAAATCATCACTGTAATGTCCTACCTTCTCGCGCCGTCCCGTACCTAAACGTGTGCCCTGTCCGTGGTGCGAATAGTGCTTTTCAAACGCATTGTAAAATCGCTATTTCTGTGGTACGACCATGCACGTACGTAAACGTCCTTTGGGTCTAAAAGGTTCGCAGTTTATAGACGCGATAATTTTTTTAGTTTTCCCGCGTTCGTGCCGTTGACAGCGTTTGATGCGTGTTGCGCGAACCAATCGTGAACCGCGCGTCGGACACGTGATAACCGGCATTGTAAATAAAACGAGTATCGGCCGTATTAATGTTAATTTTAATTGAAATAAATAAAAAAAAAAAACGCGTGTTCGGGGAGAAGAAAAATCGAGTTTCGAACGGTTATTTTACGGAAAAGCAATCACGCCGATTTCTTTTTATAATAAAACATATATATATATCGCTGTTCGCTGTATAGCGGTGGCGCGCCGCATTCGCCGACCAGTAAAATTAAAGACCATCCCCTCGGAAATTGTTTTTCATCCTCGGGTCATCCGGCGACGTCGTCGTCACCGGTCCTTTTGGGGCGTTTTCCGTGGCGTAAAAAAAAAAAAAAAATTGTCCGCGTTCGCTTGTTCTCCGAATGATTATCAAAAAACGTGTTAAATAATCGAATAATAATAATAAAAAAAAAAAAAAAATAAACCGCCCGGTATCCCCGGTAACGGTTTTCCGGACCGGGAATTCGTTTTACGGTACACGACCGCTGCGCATAACGTTGGAAACGCCGTTGTAAATGCGCACTTTTTATGTTTATTAAATATTATTTAGCGATCGATTGGAACGTTTCACAAGCCGTTCAGCACGGACCTACGGCGTTAGGTTCGCAGTACCAGTAACGCCCGCGGTGAAACGAATAAATAACGGCGAATAATTGTGGGAGACGCGCGCGAATTTCTTCCGCCGATGTCTCGGATTACGCGTGACGTCCGGTTTGCATATCGCCTGGCGCGGTCGACCGTAATCGTCGGCACACGGACCCGGTACGCGGGCGTCGCGGCTTTCGCGCGACGTACGGGAGGCAATTTATTTCGGGATTTTCGAGTAGAGCGGGCGGAGGGGGGGGACGTTATCCGAACACCGTCGCGGCCGTCCGAACCTGGGGACCCCAGAACCGAATATCCGTATTCTCGGCCGGACGACGTGCGCGCGCAATGTTTTCGTCGCGGCACGGGTTAAACGCGACAATCGTCAATACGGGACCGCGGCCGCGCGGCGCGCCAGACTGTCGCGCGGCCGACGACTGACGGCGTCGGACGCACCGTGCGGCACCTTAGGCTCGGGCCGTCGTCCGACCGACCGACGGGTACGCGCGGATTCGCTTTGGACGCCGGGACCGTTTACCGGGCCCGCGCGTTCGAACGGACCGGACCTCCGGCCGGACGCCCGACGACGGTAACGATCGTCGTCCGCGTACGCGGAGCGTCGGTTTTCCCGTCGGGCGTCACGGTTTTCGCGTAGCGCGCGCGGGCGTTTTCGAACCGCGACGCTTCACGCGCTCGCCCCAACGTCTACGTCGCGGGGCGCGGATCGCGTTCTCGGCCGCGAGTTCGTCCGGAATTCTCCAAACATCAAAACCGATCGATTCGCTGCGTCGGAACGTCAAAACCGAAATCGACGAAAAACTGACGTTCCGCTGCGTGGACGTCGTCGACCCGCCGTGCCGCGCGTTTTCGAACCGGACACGCCGCAGACGCGCGCGGGTGTAACATTTAAGCGCGCGCGACCCGTAAACCGCCGTAGTACAAAGCGGCGATTACGCGACGTCGCGTTACGCAGACAACACAATCCCTATCGGGCGGAAATCGGATCCGAACGAATACGGACGTGCGCGCGGACGTTACGTGAAGTAGCTTCTTAGAAACCGTCCGGGTACGTTCCCCGTTTCGAGTTGATTACTAAAAACCCCGTTCGAGTAGTTCTTATTTAATAATAACGGGTAAATACTCGGTCCGTGCGTACGGAGCAGTCGTATTTCGATTCAACGTACGCGTTTGGAAATACAATGTTACGCGTGTTAAATTGTTAACGCGATAAAGTGTCGAATCGCACACGACGCCGCGGTAAACGTTTTCCGGAACAAATGTTTGTCAGCGCAAATGTCTCGTGCAGCAAAATGCGACGTTTCGCCGCGGCCGTTCGGACAAAAATGTCGTACTATTTAAGACCGGAGAGCACGGTATTGTCGCGGGCAATCCTCAACGTCGGTGTGCCGCCAGTCATTTTTTATTTTTGAGCATATAACAGTAATAGGTACAGTGTGACGAAATTTTTTTCACGATAAATTGAACAGAAATAAATATGAAAACAACACGTGGTACCCATTGTTAAAGAAAGTGTACGTTTTTGAACTGTGATTATACACATTTTTTTTTTTTTTTTTAATTCATTTGTATGAATAATAAATATTTGGTTTTATTTGTGCTCCCCCCTCCATCGTTATTCATTTTCGAACACGCCCCTGTTCGCCATTATGGCTTTTCAACAATTATCACGCGCGTTTCAGCAAAATACGGTAATATATTAAAAATGCATAAAAAACGAGAACTACCCCTGTTATAAAACATAAATATTATATTTTTCTACTGTACTCGCCACCGCGGCGAACAATGTTAAATTTATCCGATCGCGGGAAAAATGTTATAAAATTGATGATTTGTGTTCGGTTCGCGTGTTTGCCGCTACAATTCGAAACGGCAGCGATAAAAGTCCGTAGAATAAAACCGAACGCAACGTCGCGGGATAATTAATCAGGTATGGGGATTTGTGCGCGGCGGTAAAAAGCGGTTTTGTCCGTACGTTACTGCGTTCCTATCGATGCTTGTTCCACTGTAATAATAATATTATTGTTCCGAATAATGTCAATGCGCGTGTATACACGCGGTGTTTTATAACAAATGATAACGTGCAAATGACAAAACGTTATGAAAGCATGTAGCGTACACTTTGCGCAGGCACTGTGACTATATACGTATTTCAGTGAAAGTAAAAAAAAAAAAAAAAAAAGCACAACCGGCTATAATAGTGTTTTGCAAACGAGCATTTTTTTTTTCCTACATAAAAATTGCCATTATGAAACGTTTTAAAATTTGACCTAATTTAACAATGCGCAATATTAAATCATTTAAATAGGAAAATCGCTTTCGTGACGCACAATTTACACCACTTTTTCCACGCCGCCGTTAATGCGTACCTACCTACCTACCTAACTACTTGACGTGCGATATTTGCCCACCACGCGATTCGTGTACACGAGTGCGCGGACAATTTTTTTTCTTATTTTGAAATGAAGCACTGAAACTTAATCATATTATGTATAGGTGCATACAGGGTGCCCCGCCGTGTTTGACGGATTTTTCTGGAGCTGTTAATATTATATTTTTTTTTAACATTTATTTTTTTGTTCCCACCCTAATATCTAAAAAAAAAGAATAACTTTTTGTGTATTTATTTTGCAACATTTTTAAAACTGCCATTCGGTAAAATATATTCCTCCGAAAATTTGAATGCATCATACATTCATATCTGTTCAATAGTTTCTTGATAACAGCCGTTTTAATTTCTTGAGAAAAGGTTTAAAAAACGAAACTACCGCGTAACTCGATAGGGTTGAAATGTTAGAAATTAAAACAGCCGCTACTAAAAAAATTTTGATCGGATGTGAATAAATGGTACATTAAAATTGTTAGAATAATATCTGGTTTATGAAATTGCTGATTTCGAAAATTGTGTAAAGTGAATAAATAAAGTAAATATGTTTTTTAGTGATTAGAGGATGCAGAAACACGTTTAATTTTCCTCCAAATGGACGTCACCATCAAAGAAAAGCATAATTGAAAAAAAAAAAAAATGTTAACGGCTCGAGAAAAATCTTTTGAACACGATGGAACACTCTGTATAATAATATTACCTCGATTACAAATGACCTTAAACATGACATTTTGGATTTGTATTTTTTTTTTTTTTTTTTTACAGAACGTTTGTGTTTCTACTAATAAAATGCAATACCACGTTAATACGTTAGGAAATTTATTATTCTACACAACATTAACTACACATATTATATTTCTATTCGCGACCAAGGAAAACATTATATTTTATTCGTTCTGTTATCATTTTTCGCATTATTGCTATTACGCGAGTTCCGTTCTATTCTCGAGTATAATATACTAAAATCGACAATTTTTTTTTTTGAAATCAAACCAATATGATATAATACCTATTGTGTTTCTTACGGTGAATACAGCGCAACTTTTTTTTATACCGACGCATTACATTGTAGAACCAAAAACTATGCTAAATCGTAATATCATATCAGATCATGTAATATGCTGGTTTGCATGCATAATAATGTGTCGTAAAGTAAAATATAGAGTAAAGTACTACTTTAAGTAGGTCAAGATTTTGGGTAGG